AACAAATTTTTTCAGTATCGGATCAATATTTGTTGCTATATTTCCACAGTTAAATATAGCAACAAAATAACCCATTTAGATAAACACTGCATATTGGGAAGTTTGTATAAAGTATAAATCTCACCCAGAGTATAGAGTACCTCACCTATAAGTACAGATCCCACCTCCTTTTCTATTTAGGTCTGTAACTGTTATTATTTCCATCACAAAGCTGACATTTCAACCTAGTTTATCTATACATCTGACTATTTGCCTGTCTGTCTGAGTCCATCCTGGTTTGAATAAGACTTTTATCTCCAACAATAGTAGAAATCACAGGTCGTGTCCCTCTAATCCTGGTTCATTCATGCACACGCTGAATGTAGAGAAGTGATGCTCTGCTCATTGATTGGATCACTTTCACACAAGCGGGCAGATTATATTGCGTTAGGTCATCGGCCTGTTACCGCGGCTCCAACTGTCAAAGAGGGCAAAGAAGGCCAGGCTAAAGACACCGATGGAGGCAGAAATAATGTGTAAGGGTTAGGTTCATGACATTTTAAAGGTGTGCTAGGCAACTTTTCTGGCTTGTCTTAATAAAGATGTCATTGTTTTACCTGGAATGTTTCACAGTATGGCATTAAGCTTGCATTATTCAATTACTAAGGTATTGCTTAAAAAAAAAAAAACATGCATTGTCATAGTTAGTGGGGTCGCCTCTCCACTCTCTAACCTGGAACTTCTTGTCTTGGAGTTGCCATACTGTGGAACATATAGGCATATACACAAAAGCATCTCAAGTGAGACCCACCACCGGAGAAGTTACATAGTGCACCTTTATAATTATTATTATGCTGAATCACATTATTGATCCTGTTATTTGCCATGTTAAAGGGACAGTCTAGAATATAGGACATAGGACCTCATTTCCTAGTTTGCCAGAGTGTTGGAGACGTGTGGAGACACTTTTTTAAAATATTCCATCCAGTCCTTGTATTTGCAGAGGTCGCTGGTGCTAGGCTAGTGCATGTCAATGGCCATAGTTAGCCTGACACTAAAAACAGTTTTACCCACTCCACAAAACACCCGAAGCAAAATCTATTATTACACCAGACTGTCGATGTAAATGTCTGTGTTGATAGAATAATGTCTGAAATAAAACTAATTGAATGAATCGTCGCATGTTGAGGGACTATTTCCTCAGCAGCAGCGGAATTTTACTTTGCAGGTGAAGTAGGTGCTAGGTGATATCAGTCCGCTGCTGCCAAGATTTCTATCAGGAAATACAACTCGCTGCTGCTGCTCAGACATAAATCCTTCAAATGTAAGGTTGGTTTTACTTTTAAAATTATTCTATTGACACAGACTTTTACATTGACAGTCTGGCGTAATAACAGATTTGCTTTGAGTGTTTTGTGGAGTGGGTAAGACTGTTTTTAGTAGCAGACTAACTATGCCCATTGACATGCACTAACCTGGCACCAGCGACCTTAGCAAATACAAGGACTGGATGGAATATTGTAAAAAGTGTCTCCACACATCTCCAACACTCTAGGAAATGAGGTACTATGTCCAAAATTCCGGACTGTCTCTTTAATATTGTGTGTATTTTTTCAGCTGACAAAAAATGCACGTGCATGCTTGATTGTGTGCTTTAATATGAGAAAATGTTGTTTTTGTTTACATCTGGCTTTTCCGCACGTGTGCAGTGGCTGGTAGGCAAAAAGTCAGTGGTGCCGCTCGTTTGTGTTGACAGTTGTCAACTCCTCTTATTTTGAAGTAGGTTTTGCATTTAATTGTTCTGACATGACTTCATCATCTTACTTAAAGTCACTGAATGTTGAGGATCAAAAACGTTATTCTGAAAAGTTAAAACTCGCCGATAACTATTGACGATCTTGATGTTGGCTGTTGATGTTGATTACCAAAATGGCTGCCGTCACGTCATTGTGTTTTCTCGTATACATTTTTCTTTTTCATTTGGGAAGGGGAGGGGGGCATGTGAATTTTAACACTTAAACATTGAGCTGTTCCATCGAATTAACTACTCAAGGTAATTTTTAACTGTTGTTTACAATGTTACGATGCCACGTGATCCCAGCCTATTCATGGACCATATAGAAGTTAAAATCATCAGTGGACATACATTGTGAACGCAGATGCCAACCTCATCACTGATCACACTGGAGGCGCATATAGGAGCTGTCTATTCATCTGCACAAAGGAGGACAAAGCTACTCTCAGGAAATTGCAGCCGGGCAATTTATAACGGCTCAGCATCAGTAGAGGGCGCACACACACACATTTTTCCTCACACAGACGATTCACACATGCACCGCTTGTTTGGCAGGCTGGTTCTTTGAACGGTTGAATGAGGGGTCTTTTCACCAAACTGAATAGCCCCTCTGATTTCCCCTTCTGTGTGTGCGGTCTGGGAAATATGTGTGTGTGTATGTAAGTCCTCTTCATCTTTTGTTTGGGGCCAGCTGAGGGTGAGAGCTGTTTTGCATGTGGGTCGCTCGCACAAATGAGCTGCTCGGGCTAATTTTGTTACCAGGCGATGGCGTTTGAAATAAACCATCGCTCCATCTGAGGCTGTGTCAAACTTGTTTAATGCCCAGAGATCAGCGTCTTTCTTTCAAGGAGATAAAGCAATTTGTGAAACAGTCCAGGGCTGCATGATTTTGAAAGAAAATAAAAACTGAATTGTTTTTTCTTACAACTATTAGGTTTGCAATTGAGGTTTACAAAGTGTTTCTGTGCACACATTGAAAACAATTCCAGTAAGAAGAGAAAGAGAAAGACTGAAAGATGAATTGATAAACTAAATAATTGCATGCAAATCATAGACTGTAGACATAAACGGACATAGCTAACCTGTAGGGATGTAACAATAACCGAAATTTTGTGATATCGTATCGTCAAAGTTCTCGCAATAGTATTGTGGACCATCACAATATATCGAATCACAAGTCTCTTTGCTTAAATTAAGGGTTCTGGTGCAGCAATAGCTAAGAAAAACAGAAGGAACTACATAGACCATGATCCTCTGCTCCATTTCAGTGTCAACTACAAGAAGAAATAACAGTTCTAAGCATTTTTAAGTTTTAGTTCTTTGGATTCTTTGGATCTTGTCAAGACATTTTAAGAGGAAAAAGTCACATATTAACAGTTTTGTTAGCCCCACAAAATATCACAATAAATATTGTACCGTGAGAAGTGTGTCGTGAAAATACTGTACCGTGAGATTTGGATATTGTTACAGCCCTAATCATTAGCCTTCCCACCATGTGAGGTTTCCCACGATATCACAATAAATATCGTACCGTGAGGTTCATACTGTGATGATATCGTATCATAAGACTTGGATATCTCTACACCCCTACTAACCTGCTAGTCTCTATATTCCAAATAGGAAGTGATCATGGGTGCACTTCCGGCTACATCGAGTTTCCAAATGACTTTACAATGAAAAATTGTCGCACCTCTCTCTGTAACTGCTGCAGTGAGCCACGTCATTTTGGTCTTAAAATATTCATATTAACCCAATCCTGGTGTTTTTATTTTGCTATTTTGTCCATATAAATTCCCATTCCTAATAATATGGAACAAAATTTGCTTCTATAACCACTAGCCTTGTGAGCTTCATTTGACTGGAGCCAAACGTTATGGGTGACGTCACACTCCCTTGATCAACTTATTTATACACTCTGTGATTACATACATGTTTTTGGAGGTCTAAAATACAGGTACCATAAGACTTTTCTATAACACAGGATATTCCGTTCTTTGCAGAGAACTTTCTATTGTTTAAATAATTGCTGCCTCTGCGATTTGATAATTGCTCCAACTCAAATTGTGATTAATGGCGTAGCCCTAAAACAGATATAATATGCAAAATTAATATTAAACATTAGGATGAAAGTTATGCATGCCTCTGGGCCACAGTATGCAGTAATATTCTATTTATTTATTTATTCTTTAAGGTGCACTTTTAGTTCTAATGGAGGGTCCATTGTCTACTTGTCTTCATGGAGATGCTGCTTTGTCTGACATGTCCCAGTATGGCATTAAATGTGTCCACCTTGCATTTACTCAGTACCATGGGTTTTATTGACTTAAAAACTTGCATTCTTATTCTGAGTGGGCTCGCCTCTTCACAGATCTGAATGTATCGAGTACCCATGGTGTCACCTGTTCTCTCCATAGAGATAAATAAGTGTAATGCCATACTGTGGAACATTTAAAATATTCTGTAGAGAGAAGCAGATGACGCGTGCTCCACCAGAAAAGTTACACAGTGCACCTTTAAGCAGGACAAGATCATTTTTGTTCTGTTTTTCTATCAATGAGTCTCTCAGCAGAATATCAGCATCCATTGAATTTAATTATCCTGTGTCTTATTCTGTATCCTTGAGTTTCAGCTTCTTGTTACATGTCACAGTTTACACATTTAGTTTTAAAATGTCAATCACTATGGAAACGGTCCTAATTTATCATCATTCTGAACCCTATATAGTTAAATATACCATCACATTTTGCCTCAAATCCACATATCTACATATACGCATCTGTTCTATCATTATCTCTTCTGACTATCTCTATCTGTCTGTACGTGACTCTTTTAGTAGCGTGTTCATTCTTGGATTCTACTTTTGGATACATGTCATAGTTTGTATGTTTTGAAGTTGACATGTTTTTAATAATGCATAACATTTAGAGGAGGCTTTTAACTAAAGAGCTCCATAGTATAGGAGCACAGAGGCACTTTTAGATTGTCTCTGTGGGTTATTCAATGAAGTAGAAATGGATACTTTCAAATCAAAGGTTTTTAGTCTAGTCTGTCTGTCTGTGTTTCTGGTGTCTTAAAAGCCCGTTCATTTCTTTGTCCACTGTAGAGCAACCCTTCTGAGCCCATTTAGCAGTACAAAGTCTCCCTCTAGTGGCAGAATGTAGTAACATACCCTGAAATACCACACCATAAAAGAACAAATTTTAATTTTATGTTCTGTTTAATGCAGGTGATAATCTACCAGAATGGGCAGGTGTTCCCGGTCTCCACCCAGCTCAAAGGTCGTGTGGGTTTTTCTGTGGTCATGCCCAGCACAAGTGCCTCCATCATCATCAACAACACTCAGCTGTCGGACACAGGGACCTACCAGTGCCTGGTCAACAACTTCCCCGACGGAGGAGGGCGCAACATTGGGGTCGTAGGGCTCACCGTCCTGGGTAAAGGAGATAACAGGGGAAAAATACTGTTGTTAATATATCCTCCTGAGACTGGACCATTGATTTGTGTCCTTAATGTGACTCTTAATGGGGGGACTTGGTTCCTTTGCCTAAATGGGATTGGGGGAATTATAGGGTACTATCATGTTCAGGATAAATAAATAAACTCAATAGGAGTTAGTTTGTGGGTGCACTATGATAAAAAAAAAAAAAATAAGAAATTAAAAGGGAGTCTAAAAACTTTTTGAGGCTACTGTAGAACCTTTTCAGAGATGTTGTTGTTTTTGTTTGATTTAACACCAAAATGTCCCCAGTGTCCATTACAGATGAAATGTTGCAAAATTATAAATAAAAATAAAATGAACAAAATCTAAATGCTAAGGTGTTCGTTTACCTCCAAACAGAGAGAAAAATCACAAAAAAATATATATAGTGCAATACACTTTTTTCTTCAGGTCCCAGGAGGATATATTTATTGTATTTATTTTATAATGTGTTTTACGGCAGTAGCTATATTCAGATTTACACAGCAACAGTCATTTTCTCTGTTTTGTGAAATACATGATAATCAAAGAACAGTTTAAAAAGCACATTGTAAAGGTGCACTATGTAACTTTTCTGGTGGAGGGTACCTGCTTATCTCCACAAGTAATTTTCTTGGTTTGCCTGGAATGTTCCACAGTATGGCAATAAACATGTCTACTTTACATTTATTTTGTATCAGGTGTTTTTCAAAACACCACGGCGAGCAGGGCCACTTCGCCACTGATCTGAGCTGTAACTTCGGAACTGTGGAACAAAGACAAAGCAATAATTCTATGGAGTTGTCATCTCAGTGAAGAAAGTTGGTTGCAGACCCCCCATCAAATAAATTACATATTGCAGCTTTAAGCATTTTAATCTCAAGGTCTTTATCATTTTTCATTTTTTGCAACTCCTAAATTATTGTAGTTTAAGCATTTTAGAAGCACCTGCATTTGGCAGTGCAACGGCATATTTTAGTGTTCCAAAATTGTAATGTAAGTGCAGACAGTAATTTCCAGTCTCACACCTCAGCGTGAGCAGAGCCAGAGCTTAACAATAGACTGTGAGGAACATGCTGTAGCCTTTTATTATAAGAGTGTCTGTTTTGTTCCTAATACCTACACATAACCGGGAAACTGACTGCATTTTCAGTATTCACGGGTAGAAAGCAAAGTAAAGGCTTTTAACGCTTTTAGTCTGAGATTCATAATTAAAATAACCTGCCCAGACACAATAGGTTTTCTGATAATTACTGAAATATGGCATCAACAACACTATACTTTATAATAAATTGCTTGCTTCATTATTCAAAGCACTTACTGTTCAGTATTCAAAAGTAACAAAATGGCAAATTATTAGTACATAATAAACTTCCTATTATGTGGTGCCATTGTGAGGATAGTTGACCACTGAAAAGATGTAATATTTTGGTTTGAACTGTTAATTGCTATGGCTACGATCCTAAAATTTCATAATTCTTGAGAACTTTTCAAGCTATAATATATTTTTTATTTGTCAATTGCTGTAGAAACTGTCCTCATTTTGTTGATAATAGAAGTAGAAAAGCCATTTGTGTGTGAAGCCTGCTGACTGCCCCTCTCTCCATCTGCCAGTGCCCCCCTCGGTGCCCGCGTGCCGGATCCAGGGCACCCTTGACGTTGGCAGTGACATCACGTTGTTCTGCAGCTCAGAGGAAGCCATCCCCACCCCCTCCTACTCCTGGGAGAAAGTGGACGCCCTCCCAAAACTGCCCCACAATGCCATGCAAGGTACTATACACAAGCTGGCCATCGGGGTGCCCCTTTGCCCGACCTTCGCTGGTAAATTACACACGTGATAGTTACAAATAATATTAAGAGGTCATCTTCACTTCTTGTCCGAGCCCCGCCCACCTGCTGATGAAGTGTGTTTGTGACTAAGTGAATAACTATAGTGCCAATCTTATGCTGAACACCAAATAAACCGTAATGACATGAATGCTTGCATTTGGTTTTCAGCATTGGATTGCACTGCTTTTGTGTATTTTCCTTTCTTTTCCAACTGTGAAGTGGCCATTGCCAGTCATCAACATTGTATTATGTCTATACATCACTGAGTACTGAGCTTAGTCTAAGAAATGGACTTTGGTTTTCAAATTGAATCATTGTCAGTTGGGGCAAAATATTAAGAGGCTCCATGATTTTGTTAATATGAGATTCTATAAGCATTCATTTAGTGTTTTTTTTTTTTTTTTTTTTTTTACAAATTATGTTAATGTAAATGGCAAAAAGGCCTATCAGATGATGGAGCTAAAATATCTGGGACAAAAATACTGCTATTCCTCTTTAAACAAAAATACTACCACATAGTCGTACAATACATATATTTAAGAGTATTCAGGTTTTAGTTTAGTATTAGTATCTGCTATTTATGACAGCTATCCCTACCCATTTATGCAGTATAATAAAATACTTTCTGTAGATACTTGGTGAGTTAAAGTACATACAAAAATACCAGTGCTTAGTAGTGTGTAGTGTAATTACTAACCCAAAAATCAACTCTTTTCTCATTTGTGAAAGAAAGGACTTTGCACATCGTATTTCTTACTAGATCCTGATTTGTATACTAATCTTTGGCCTTTGGTTTTGTTGCGGTTTCTGTTTCAGACCAGATGCAGGGAACTGTTACCCTCAGAAACATCAGCACCAGCACCTCAGGACTTTACCAGTGCACCTCCAGCAACACCATCGGAAAAAGCACCTGTCTGCTCGACGTGCAGGTCCTAGCACGTAAGTACCACTGAGGGCATCCAGTTTGTTTTAATTCTCATTCCTAACCCTGGAATTTAATTTTATCTTATTTTATTTTAAAGTTTGCTTTTAATTATACAAAATAGCCTTATTTAATTTAAATTATACAACAGAATAGATTAGAATAGTGCATAACAGGTGCATATAATAGCCCTAAAAGCATATGTATTTCCAAATTAAAATATGATTTTTTAATTTTTTTTTTTAATGACAGTCTTAAGCATTTTAAAGGGAGGCAGTTGAGAATTTTAGACATAAGGCCTCATTTCCTAGTTAGTCAGAGTGTTGGAGACGTGGAGACACTATTTCCATCCAGTCCTTACACTTGGAAATCACTGGTGCTAGGTTAGCACGTAGTAGTTAGTTAGTCTTACCCACTCCAAAAAGCACCCAAAGCTAATCTATTATTATTATGCCAGACTATCGACGTAAATGTCTGTGTTGATAGAATAATGTTTGAAATAAATCTAACCCTGCATGAATCGCCGCATGTTGAGGGACTATTTTCTCATATATCAGTCTGCCGCTGCCAAGCTTTCTATTAGGAAGTACAACTCACTGCTGCTGCTCAGACATAAATCCTTCAAATGTAAGGTTGGTTTTACTTCTAAAATTATTCTATCAACACAGACGTTTACATCAACAGTCTGGCGTAATAATAGATTTCCTTTGGGTGCTTTGTGAAGTGTTTTTTTTTAGTGGCAGGCTAACTATGGCCATTGACATGCACTAGCCTAGCACCAGTGACCTCTGCAAATACAAGGACTGGATGGAATATTTAAAAAAGTGGCTCCACACATCTCCAACACTCTGGCTCACTAGGAAATGAGGCCCTATGTCTAAAATTCTGGACTGTCCCTTTAAGACATGAGAGAATAAAGATGCAGCTGCTTTATTATATTAAGAGCACATTGTAACATATAGAGTTATTGCAAACTCATGATCTTTTGTCTGAACAAATTGTTACACACATTACAATTATTTAGCATGACTCAGGCTTTGGTCCTTGATCCAGAAGGTTAAGGATCCTCACTGACACATCTGTCTGTTGAAACAGTCTGGACCAGAAGCAGCTGCCATACAAGTTTATATCCTCTAAGTGACACTAAAGTCTCCGCACATCAGGTCCGACCCTGTTTGTTTGACTCTCAAGGGAAAGTTCTTTGCTCAAAGTCTGCCTCTGATTGGCACTTGTCTCACTGACGGATCACCAAAACAAAACAATAATGAGAGACGAGGACAGAGCGTCTAAGGGACTGCGTCAGTGTGGTCTGGCTCAAAGACCTGTTTTAGAGTGAAAGAAGGTCAGCATGATTGGATCCTGACAAGAAGAAGAGCTGTCAGCTTCTGAGACTCTTATTTTCTTTGTGGCAGCAGACGGCTAAGTGACAGCTAAGTGCTAAGTGTGTCTGTCAGGCCACTGGATCAAATCAGACTGAAAAATACACAGTGAAAGTTATAGCTGGCATCTTTGTTACTATTTAGAAAACCTATAACCTACAGCCTATATTTTTGTAGTAGTTTAAAAAGGTAAATCACAAATAAGTAAATATTCTGTTGTTGTTTTTTTTGTTTTTGTTTTTTGTCTTATTGTATTTTTAAAGTGGCAAAATAAACTAGTGTGGTACATTATGTAATGTGTAACTGTCCTGATGGGATGTACACCACCTGCTCTTTTCCTTGGAAAAGTTATGTTTTTTATTACAGTTTCAGAGTATGGGTTTAGATTGACCTTATATTGTCAGTACTGATTCAACTACAGACAACTACATAGTCGAAAGAGTCCATTAGTCACACTGTCTCTTCCTGTGTCTTGTGCAGCTCAGCCTCAGAGCGTGGGTCTAATCGCAGGGACCATTGCCACGGGGGTCCTGGCCGTCATCATCTGTGCTCTGTTAGTGGTGGTCTCATTGTTTTACTGGAGAAACAAGAACAAATATGATGAAGAGGAGATTCCCAATGAAATCAGGTCAGTTCTGCAAACTCATCACCTGCTAACTACTGAGCAACTACTGGAGTTCCCTGCAACCACTACTCGATACCCATATATTCTACATGCGCTATGTGTGGCATTTTTGTAACTAATCTGTTGTGTCTAAATGGCACACGTCTCTGCAGTGTTGCAACATGAATCTCCAAACCTTTGTTCCAATAATTGCAAAAACACAGAATTTGTCTCAGGAGACATGCTGCTTCAGATTATCGTATGAATCATTTGTAAGATAAATGGTTCCTCAGACTTGTGCATGGCTCGACTGGGGAAACATCTGTTTCATTTGGGCTGAAGAACATCCTTATATATAACTGTTCATACAGTACAGTAAATCTGATATTACATTACATTATAAAGCCATGTTTCTGCCCTACATCAGTCTTCTATGCCTCAAAAAGATCATTAGTGTAACATGCTTCTTGAGTATGCAGGGTGGTTTATAATGAGATTAGACTCAAGTGAAAGATAATTATGCAGATTCTGCATTTTGACACAGCATAGGCCGTTTTAATACTTAATAGGTTGTTGAATGTATTCATTATTATTCATAATGATTTAATTGGTAACTTTGCTTCTCTAATATTCTTTTACTTCTAAAACATGCTTAGAGAGACTGGAGGAATTTTATTCCACATGTGTGTGTATGTGTTGCAGAGAGGACGATCTTCCTCCAAAGAGGTCTTCTTCAGTGAAGGCATTTCACGCAGATGCCTCGTCCTCTGAGAACGACACTCTGACCTCCACCAACACCTACAACAGCCGCTACTGGCACAACCCCAAACCCAACTACGACACCAACTCTTACACACGCTACAACGGAGACACAAGGCAGACCTTCTCTACTGCCCCTGCTGCCACGGCAACGCACGGGACACACCCAGGACATGGGACTAATGCAGGACATGGGACAAATGTGGGACACGGGACTAACACAGGGCATGGAACTCATGCTGGACATGGGGGCCACGGGACACACCCAGGGCATGGGACACATCCAGGACATGGGACACACGGGACACATGGAGGACATGGGGGACATGGAGGACATGGCACACATCATGGAGCTCATGGACAGCCTCAGAGCGCCGCACACAGTCACAGCTCCACAGCTCCAGGCTCCGCCCCTCTGTCCCGACACACACAGCCCGCTCAGAGCTCCACAGTGTTTGCTAACGGCAGCCACACACTGCCCCCTCCTAAGACTCTGGTGGTCACCACAAACTCCGCCCCCTCCCCTCCCGCCATCCGCTCTAACGGCTCTGTGAGCCTGAAGCCCGTGGTCACGTCCACACACGGGCAGCACACACACTCATACGCTGTGAGCCAGGCCACATTGGAGCGCATGGGGGCAGTGCCAGTGATGGTGCCCGCACAGAACAGAGCAGGCTCCCTGGTCTGAGGGACTGGCACTACACAGTGTCTGAGGCCTGGTTCTAGACTATAGTGTGTGGTTGTGAAGTAAACATATGGGCTGAAGCAGCCCGCTGCCCTTTACAACTGTGTCTCTCTGTACCTTTGTATCTCCGAGTGGACAAAGCCCACAGTTCACTTCATGCCAATTCCTTGGACAGGACTCTTTTTGTAAAGCAGACTAGATAAATGACTGTTCCCCTGGTCAAAGGGGTTCATGTGGGAGCTATTTTCCACTGGATGATGTCACAGCGCTGGAGAGAGTCTCATTCAGGGCTGGATCATTCTCATACTTTTGTTTTTGTTGTTTCATTTTTGGTTTGTTTTTGTTTGAAAAAACACAAGAGTTTTCTGCCGTTGTCTCTGCTGCATGGTCAGACCGAGGAGGGCTGCATGTGTCCACTGATTTCTGACATGATTTTCTTTCTTAACACTTGTTTGAGGACTTGTTTCTTTAATAACAGTAATAATGTGGAATGTTTGGAGAGCAAAAGCATGAGAATGAAATACTGGTTGAAATGGCCTTAGTTTCTTTTAGTGAGAGGATTTCTTGGTGCAATACAATAGATAACACTGAATGCAAATATTATAGTTATGTTTTAGCACTTTTAAAAGCAACTTTATATCAAAATTGCTGTTTCAAACAATTACTTTCTTTTGTCTTACAACTTTATCCATAAATCTACCAATCTCTTAAAAACACATCTAAGAAAAGAGGCCAGATAGTGGTTTGTGTTGTACTTTTCTCAATATTAATTGTCACTGTACTCACTGGCTGCTCTTACCCGACATGGATGGCAGATGTCTTATTTCATAAATGCTTTATAGAGAAACAGATCTATATTTAATAACAGACTTCTTTCTATTGTAACACTCAATGGCAGCAGTGAGCTATAATCTACTGCAGGTCTTACAACGAGGAACTATACAACATCTACTTTCTTGGCCATATTTAGGTGAAAATGCTCAGTTTCTGGGGAAGGATCACTGTGTAGTAGTTTTACCAAATCTCAATAAGATATATTAATTTAGCAATCTTCATATTGTGCACTTACTAATGCACCAACTAATAATGTTTGTTTTTATATGTATGATGCAATATTTGATTCTGCAGTGACTCTGTGGTACATGCAATATGTGTGTTTAGTTTCATTTCAGTGTTTCAGTTAAAAACAAAGACACGTGTGCTTATGTCACTCTCAAGGTGCTCCAACATTAACAACAGTAAAAGCAGAGTTCTTCACCAGGATTTTTTTTTCTATACACACTTGCCCGAACATTGCACTTAGAGGACAGCTCATGTACTTTTAATTACGCACATATACGGAACATCAAGTCAACTGCCAAGGCTGTGCCAAGTTTAAATATCCAGGTCATTAAAGGGCCCATATTACGCTATTTTCTGATTTATTTTATAATGCTACTGTTTCCTGATCAGAAGTATACCTGGAGTTGTGTTTTGTTTCATTCACACATGTTCAAGTACTACAGGAAGTGCGCCACTACGTTGCCCATCTGTACTCAAAAAAATATAAAAGGTAGCTGTTAACTTGAAAACTAACGCTACTTGACATCACAAGGTGGAACAGAGCATTTTCAGCTTTGGAGATGTAGAAAGACTAATAATAAGAGGTTAAGGAAATGCATGTGAATGAAATAACGCACAACTCCAGGTATGTTTTTGATGAGGTTACGACATTCTAACTTAAAGCTCACAGGAGTCGATTTTGTGTAATATAGGACCTTTAAACAGGTTCAGGTTGCGTAACAATATTTCTCAAAAAAACAATAATTACTAAATATTGGCCCTCAAAAACACATTCCACATCTAATAAAACTTTAACAAAACTCATTGGCCTCAGTTGTTATCATGATTTTGTTGCCAATGACCTAAAGGACTCTACTTTAACATTTAGAAAAACTCAAAAACTTTCTTCTTGCAGACTAAAGTCTTCTCCCTGATGCAAAACTCCATTCTTCAAAAGTCTTAAGACACCACCATCACAAATGCATTTTTCTTTTTGATTTAAAGTTTATCGTCTTGCTGCAGTCAGTGTCTGTCCACATTGTACAAGTTTTGTTCTTCCTGATCAAAGCTGTCTTCTGTGCAGCAGCTGGTGTCGGAAAACTAAGGTCTGATAAATATTTGTCTGTCAATGTTTTCCAAATGATCTTAACTTTGTAGATCCTAACCCTTAACTCTTGTTTGACAAACTTGCTGCAAAACAAGGATTATTTTAGTCCTTACCCAGCAGTAATGAGGGTATAGACTGCACAGTGTAACGCATTTGAATTAGCAGTTTTCTGTTCTGCCCTGGACTGTCTATGGGTTGTGTACATATAGAAAAAAGGACTTGATATAATAATACCAATGGTAAAAAGTGTACATATGTAAAATGATGTTCTTACTGTTGGGTTGAAATTACTTAGGAAAATAACACTGGAAAATGTAGTGAATAAATGCTGTTAATACATTCTACTCTGCCTCAGCCTATTTTGTTTCTCTTGTTGTATTTAGATAGCCAGGCTGGCTTCACCTAGTGCCTCTGCTCAATTTCATTTCTCTCCAGCGACTAGGTCAGGAATCGGAATACAATAGACGGTTTGCAAGAACCTTGGAAGTGCGAGTTCGGGCACCAGCCAGTCAGCGAAGAGCCATACATTCTGTGTTGGCAGCGACTCCGAGATTCAGGATTTAAAGCAGGAACAAAGAGAATGGATTTTATCAAGGGAAAGACGTTATTGCCCTTCTTCCTACGGGATTTGGGAAAAGCTTAATATACCATTTATCCTCGTTAGGGACGCATTACATACATCACAACCAAATAGCAGTGATTTGTTAAATGATAAAAAGTACCCACCTACCATCGAGCGAACGAATTCTAACACTGCGAGGTCAGACGGTTTCCACGAAAGTGAAACTGGCTGATGAATCAGGCTATTACTTAGATATCATTTGGCCAATATATCTGTCTGATACTTGGACTTTATAGTGTGTCAACTATCACTCTTAAATTTCCAGCACAGGCCAAAATTTTGTTTTGATCAAACTGCTGCAAACACTTAAATATGACAAAATAGCTGAACAAAACATGATGCCACAGCTCTCTGATAGGTTTGTAGTGAATTTAAATGACATAATTTGAGAAAAATAATCAAAATTGGCCCAAAAATATTGGCAGAGCTATTTCTTCAGAGGTGAGCAGTACTCTTTAACGAGACTAACTTATTTCATACAATTGTACTTTTTCTCACAGTTATATAATATATTTAAGCATTTAACACTACTTGAGTGAAGGTTTGGATTATGCTTTCAATTAAGTGTGACAAAATGCTTATGTTGACAATATTAAATGAACATTTGGGTTTTTTGCATAACTCATTCAGGTATGATTTAGTTTTTGTCATATTTGTGGTTTATAATTTGAATATGCCATATTTTGGGACACTAATGTTTTGTTCTCTGATTAACATTAATGTTACATCTTTAAATTTACTCTTACACACTCACAACTGTTTAGTAGTTTCCCCGAATACTGTGTTACTTTGTCACAACTTCTGGCTTCTCTACCCACTTCAGGCTATCCTTATCTTTATATGCATACTATTAAGTAGAAGGTTGTGTTTTATTCTTTGGCCACTATCTCTCCGTGCCGTCTCGTCGTATAATATGAATAAGATGCGTTCAGCTGTTGAGCAAAATGCTTTCTATGAATCTATTTCTCGAGCCTTTTGGTGCTGCTGCCGGCTGTAAGAACGAGCATGCAGAAAAGCAGAGGCGCTGAATAACAATATGAAAGATATGCAAGTGTGCCAGATTCCCTCATGCGCCCGTGGCTTCAATTCCCCAGAGAGAATATGAAAAAATGAGCCACATCTCAAGTTAAAAAGATAGATAACATATTGAAACATCATCACTAATACATCAATGCTACTAAACCTTTTACTTATGTACGTGTCTGTGCGTAATTAATCTGAAATCACCTCATCTGATGGGCTGGGGGAGCTTGGTTTATGCGTTTCCATAAACACGCAGTTCTCAGGTTGGGCGCTAGGGGGCGGTGTTTACCAGAGTTCCACAGAGGCGCTGCAGTGGGTTGATTTGCACGCCACTCCCGTCTGTTTAAACTCACCGTTCGCCGTGATGTCTGCTCTTCCTCCTGTCAATCAAAGCCGCGCATTACTGACAATTTCCATACTCGCTCTCTCCCACGCGCTTTGTACGTTTGTTTTGTTTTTTCGTAACAGACATCTACAAAGTTTATCCTCCAGACAAATAGGCTACATCATTTTGAGTGATAAGAATGTTTAAGTTCATAGAAAGTGCAGTAAAAGTGAATTTGAGTGAAGAATAGGCCTGAAGGATAGAGTGGCATTGATTATTGTTGTCACGTTGGCATTGACCTACGTAAGAAAATACATGAGTGCACAAGACTAAAATGTTTCTGAAAAGCAGTGGTGCATGAAGTACTAGTAGTATTTTTGTTACTTCAAAAAAAGTGCACATACAGGGGCAAACGATTACTCAAGTAAAAGTATCACATAAAAAAAATCTACTTACGTAAAACTACTGAAGTGTCTTTTAAAAATGTACTTTAAGAGTGAAAAGTAAAAGTATTAAAGCGTCAAATGATAAAGAATTTAGCAGATTTTAAGGGATTCAATTGATGCTTCATTTTCCTAGCTGTTTTTGTGTGTTTGTGCATTGCGTTCGTTCAAAGTTAACTAAAATTAAATGTGCCAAAAATAAGTCTCAGCCTTTTCGGCTCGAACCAAGGGTGACCACACGTCCCTATTTACCCGGGACAGTCCCAGTTTTGAGCCCTGTGTCCCCTGTCCCAGCAAATTTATCCAAAACCATTGATTTGTCCCAGTTTTATACAAGAAATGTCCCTGGTGTCCATATTTTTGGCCAATTCGATACGTACCAACAGTAAAGAGACGCGTATACTGACATTTGTTTAGGTAAAAAACAGAAAAGCTGCTTAA